AGAGAGAGAGAGAGAGAGAGAGAGAGAGAGAGAGAGAGGAAGAGAGAGAGAGTGAGAGATGAAGAGAGAGAGAGAGAGAGAGAGAGAGAGAGAGAGAGAGAGAGAGAGAGAGAGAGAGAGAGAGAGAGAGAGAGAGAGAGAGAGAGAGAGAGAGAGAGAGAAACAGACACAGACAGACAGAAACAGAAACAGAGAGCAAGAGACTAGAAAACCACAAGAGGGAGTAAGTAAAAGAGAGAGACAGAGAAAGAGAGAGAGACAGACACTCACGAAGGAATGGGAGAGCCAAAGGCAAATAAACAGACGAAGAGGGCTGTGAAGAATCCTGCAGAACAAAGTACAAATCTGTTTGCTCGTAACACGCTCTTTGGCCACTGGTGAAAAGAACTGAAAACGATTACTTGTTTACCTATCTGTCTATCAGCCTCTCTGTTTGTCTATTTTCTGTAACGTTATCCATGGTTATTTGACAGATCTTTATCTATCTGCCCATCTGTCTGTCTATTTTCTGTAACGTCATCTATGGTTGTTTTGGCAGATCTTTATCTATCTGTCCATCTGTCTGTCGATCTTTATATCTATTGATCTATTTTGTTATTGGTATATATCCACCCGAGTTTCTATATCTATATATAGAAACTTCTTCACAGAGAGAGAGAGGAACAGAAACGGGGGAGAGAAATAGAGAGAGAGAGGGGTATAGATTGATAGCTAGAGAGATAAATATAATAGGTAGATACATAGAAAGACGGATAGACTGATAAATAGACGTAGGTAGACAGATGACAGACAGCCAGACAGAGAGATAGACAGATAGGTAGATAGATAGACAGATAAATAAATAGATAGATAGATAGATAAATAGATAAATAGAGAGAGAGAGAGAGAGAGAGAGAGAGAGAGAGAGAGAGAGAGAGAGAAGAAGAAGACATGAGTGACATCAATGACATTTTTTCGTCACATGACATCCATTCCTCACAATCTCCCGTAAGAAGCCTTTATAATATAAGAGGTATCAATTGGAGACAAGTAATTGACATATTGTGCCGTTCCCTGATAAAAATAGAGGGAGGGAGGGAGGGAGGGAGGGAGGGAGAAGGAGGGAGTGAGGAGGAGGAGGAGGAGGAAGGAGGAGGAGGAGGAGGAGGAGGGAGAGAGGGGAGGAAGGAAGGAGGGAGAGAGGGAGGGAGGGAGGGAGGGAGGGAGGGAGGGTGGTGGGGAAGAAGGAAGGAAGGAAGGAAGGGAGGGAGGGAGGGAGGGAGGGAGGGAGGGAGGGAGGGAGAGGAGGAGGTGGAGGTGGAGGAGGCAGGGACAGAGAGAGAGAGAGAGAGAGAGAGAGAGAGAGAGAGAGAGAGAGAGAGAGAGAGAGAGAGAGAGAGAGAGAGAGAGAGAGAGAGAGAGAGAGAGAGAGAGAGAGAGAGAGAGAGAGAGAGAAAGAGAAACTGACGGGAGACAAACCCATATGAAGAACGGTTTACGGAGCGTGCACCTGACTGACGCCAAACGAGTCTGCCTTTTATTACAAGTCACAGTAGTTTTTCACCAGCGTTATGTGGCCGTCATGGCGTCGATAGAAACATAAGCATAGCAAAAGAGGGGAGAATAAAGGGGGGAGGGAGAAAGGGGAAGGGAGGATGAGCGAGAGGAAGGTTGAAGGAGAGAGCTGGGGAGCTTAGTAAATGGAGGGTAAGTGAGAATAAGACATAGAGACAGTTGGAGAGAAGTAGTCACAATTACGACAGATGATTCGGGAGGCTAAGTATGAGTCATCCATCTGCCTTTGAGGAAATGCACCAGCTATTTAAAGAAGGACTTATTGAACTCATCGACACTAATTCCACCGTCATCCATTAATGACCAGAACCGCATTTTGAGTCATAGATAACAGCGTAGAAGGTTTGAGAAGCGTGCGGGGCTTGGACGAAAATACATGAAACCGCAGCGTAACATTGTGGAAAGCGGGACCGACAGGAAGCCTTATTTACGCTCACCTTAGAGTAATGTCCAGACGCTACATTTTTTCTGATAGCGTCCGTAGCCACACCCGAAAAAAGAGGGGAAAAGAAAAAGTATATGTAATGATGAATATGATTCTGTTGTTTTTTTTCTCTCTCTACTTGTGTCTATTAAATTAATTAGTGATTATCTTTCATTATAAGAGTATTGGATATCGTGATAAGGGGAGAGCATATTTTGTATTTTTCTTTACATTTTCTTTCACTTATATGCACTGTAAAGGTTGAATCACAGGAAACCCTATTACACGTAGAAAGAAAGAAAATAAGTCTTATACATATTTAAACGCCAAGAAGCCACATAAAACCGCGTACATTCGGAGAAAAAATTACCCGAAATAAGATCATGTATTATTGAATCAGCTGACTTTTTTAGGACAAGCAAATGTGTCCAGATACAGTTTAAAACGTTGGTATAAATACGTGATATAAAATTCATACTTACATGCATATGGAAACAAGCACACGCATACATATCTATTTAT